TCACATCCAGCGGGATGGACAAGAAGATGCCAGGGCTGACGGAGAACTGGCACTGTCCCCCCCACCCCCCACCCCAGCCACGGGCACTCTGCCCACCACATCCGCTCTTGGTCTCCTTGAAGACACGTTAGGACGTTCAGATTAGAGCCTCTGTTTGTTTTGCTCACTGGGCTCCGAAGAAGGCTTGTTTGAAGAGGAAATGCAGCCTGATCCTGGGGCATTGTGAAAGGCATTGTGGGACTGTCGAGGATGGCCCCCTGATCCTGGGGCATTGTGAAAGGCATTGTGGGACTGTCGAGGATGGCCCCCACCTTTGACCTCTCAGTGCCAGGCTGCCGGCAGTTGGGGGCATGGGAGGCAGCTCTTCATTCTGTGGGGACCCCGGGTCACACCAGCATCCCCCACCCTCCTCTCCCGGGCATGTTGCTCACCCCGTCCTAGTGTTTTCACAACAAAGCTCCCCAGCCACTGTGGCTCCTGGTTTGTGTGAATCCAACTTTGAAGGCCAGGCCTGCTCTGAAGCAGCTCAACCACGCCCTGTGCCTTAGGAGGAGAAAAAGGAAGGCCGGCGATCTGGTGTGTTCAAATGGAGTGTTGGCGAGGAGCGGCGAGGAGCCAGGGGCTGCCAGCAGAAGGAACGAGCCAGACCTCGAAGGAGTACAACCGGGGTGCTCCTTAGAAGCCAGGGTGGCCAGAATTAACCGACCTGACCTTGGGCATCTCACCAGGAGAGACCAGAAAAGCATGATAAAATAGCTGGTCAGCAAAAAAGACACCCTCTCCAGATGCGCTGACCCAGCATGACCCAACCCAACGGTCATGGCCACAGTCTTCCATGAGGTCCAGCTCCTCAGTGCCACCTGGGGGGCCCCTCTGGAGAGAGGAGCTCCTCCGGCCAGGAGTCTCGACCTCAGACCCAACTGTGTATAGAAACACGCCCATTTCTCCCCAACAAGGAGGCCAGTCCTCTGAGATGGTGTTGGTTTCTCGGCATAATTCCGAGCATCTCACATTCCTTTGCAGTCTGGAATGTGGGCATTCCTGA